TATATAATATTCAAAATCATTATGTTTAATATATGAATCTTTGGCAATTATAGGCTTTTCTTCCCCCCCCCCCGAAAAATATAATGCTGAGCATTAAACTCGGACTGTGAAGTTCTGCTACTGGAAAAATCAGATAGAGTAATCAGGAGCATAACCCACATTTTGCCCTGTTTAAATGTGGAATGTTAGGCTTTTTATTTTTTTTAATCAAAAGAAGTACCACTCAAAATAATGATTTTTCTGTAAGATATGAATTACCTAAAAGTCATAGAATTTTAAATTTATGTTTATCTTAATTCAGTTGGGTTTGACAAAACAAAATCATGCTGGAACATTACATTATCTTTTACCTGCAGTCCACTATTCGTCCTTGATGATAAAAAGAATTTGGGATAATTTCTCCTTGAACTTGACCAACTCGTGGAACTCTAGTAAGATTAGTACAGAGCAAAAAGCCACAGAAAACATCACTGTAAAATGAAAACATAAATCAAAAAGTTACTGGAATAATATGAAGTAAACTTACAAAAAAGAAAGACTGGCAATGATGCTGCTGATCACATTAAGTAATGTATTACTGTAGGCCACATGACAGACTTTCAGAGTACAAGTCTGGAAATAAAATATTATTTGATGTAAATGGCAAGAGGCAGAAACAAGTAATTGTTTGTTCTAACACATCAGTGAACGTTCACATGAACAAGAAATTGATCTGTGCTCTAAATACAATACAGTACAATTAAGAGAAGCTTTGTACAGTTAATTGTACAAACATGTACGTTAGGCTTTGTCATACAGACTAAATAACATTTCCTTCTCTCTAGTAGCTTGAATGCCATATGTCAATGAGAAGTTTGAATTTTTAATTGAATTTTATTTCCCTGGCAGGACAACAAAACCATAACAATCATTAGCATGCAGTGTGTGTGCCTGACTTTTGGTAAAGAATCTGCTTTATTTAACGTTATTTTATACATGCAATCTTCAATAGAAGGATATCAGTTTAAAACTTCCATCTCCTACTTTAATTGTCGTAAGTCATAGAAGCAGCTGAATGAATGCTGGAAATTGTTATTTGTTAAAATTGCAAAAAATTTAAATAGCCCTTCAGCTAGACCATTTTTCTGCATCTCTCTACTGACCAAGTAAAGCTTTTATACAAATGAGGTTTTTAACATATACATCAGAACAACACTGTTCTTATCTAAATATAAAAAAATCCATTAAACAACTCATTTCCTTATGATCCTATCTGAAAAGTGAATCATGTAATCAAAAAAAAGGCCACTTGACAAACATCAAATAGTCAAAGGAGGAAAACACCGGTCTGAGACTGAAATTTTCACATGCATACTTAAAAATTATAAAACAGTAAGTAAATCAGGAGAAATTTAAGTCTATCCACTAATGATCATTAACTTGAAAAGTAAATTTAATCAAATATCGATCTAGTAATGATCACAAGCAAATGTGATTTTCTTTATAGCATCCAAATGTCTAATGGTCCTCCCTGATCAAAATAAAGGTTGGAACAAACTTCAAATAGCATAATCTGGTATCAATCCCAGAGCAAGCAAAAATAGTGTGTGTATTTGCAGCCTAATTTATCCCTACCAAGTCTGAGGTGTTTGTATATTATGAACTTGTGACTTTTTGCTGCCTCGTCCCCCAGCTCCTCTGAAAGAATTAAAGTCACAGTATATTCTTCTGAAAACCTGGAATTCTTTACAAGTTGCCCATGGATTTGTCAGAAAAACTTTTTCAAGATGCAAACCTTGTGAGGGAAAGAAGATTCAAAATACCACAAAACAAACTGCTAAAACGTTAATGAAAAAGAAGACAATATTAACTCAGTATTAATCTATTTAAAATACAAATAATCTCTACCAAGCTGAACTTACTGTTTGCTACACTGAATCCATCGGTCTCCATCCTTTCCGCAGTTTCCTTTTTTTGTGCCTTCTGTATTAAGCTTTTCATAACAAAATTTGTCAGATCCCGAAGACTCTGTTGATGAAGAAAGGAAAAAGGAACATACTTTCCCACTCGCAACACGAGAGCTTTGAAAACCTGCATAATTTATTGCAGCAGTTCTCTGTATTTTTTTAATACAAAACAGAAATCTAACCACATGTGTATGTACACAGATGGTATTTTCCAGTGACTATAGTGGGAACCTAGCAGACTGAACTGCAATACCTACAGATAGCTTTTCTAAAATAATGCTCAATGTTCAAAATTTGCTCTGGACTTTTTAAAAAACAAAACAAAACAATCTCCATGGCATCTGTATTTTCTTCTGCATTTGCATTTATCTGTGGTCTAATTTTGTTCACTTCGTAACAGTTGCACATAGATTTAATCTAGTTGTTTTCACTGCAATTATTCCTGACCTGTATTTCAGGAGATCGAAGACTTTATATATGACATATACCATAAGCATATGTTCTGATATCAAGTCAATGTTTATTTTATTTTATTTTTCAGGAGTTAACAGAGAAAACAAGGTTGAACAGTCAGAGCACAATTTCTACTGTTTTTTAGGAGTAGGAATCTGAACTAATAGGTTTAAAACCACAATTATTTACTAACAAGTACCTTTGTTTTTTGTAAAAATCAATTAAAATAAGCAAAAAGAAAAGCACAACAATCATACAGAGGAAGATAAAATATTAAAGGTAAATAAGAGTAGTTTCAGTAAAATCACTTGTACAGATGACAAACCAAATATTTTAAAATACAAATGTGTAAGATACAAAGAAGTAAGTTAAAAAAACACCAATCGCCTTTAATATTATCAATGTGTGAGGTGGCAACATAAAGCTCCAAAAGACACCAGAAGACAAACAAAATGTCGTCTCCATCTAAGTTTACACTTACATAGCATCTTTTGTATTGTACAAGACAAACAATAGATGGTAAAACTACATGCCTCCCCTCCCATCTTCCCTAGAATGGAATGACTCTTCTTCCTCAAACAGGCAGTGTCAGCAGTGGCAGTTATGATTAGACAAAATGCACAAGAAAACAGTATGTGCTAGAGTACAGGACATCCTGATAATTCTCAAAGTCATCACACACAGGATTTACCCGTTCTCAGCTGCAAGTAAAAGCCATTGCAACTGCAATTCTATTTCACTCATTTCCTCTGGGCTTAAATTTGTACTATGTATATTTAAATTCACACTAATGTACTAATTTTCCTGACTAGGATGGCATAGCAAAGACAGGCAAGGTGGAACAGCTTTAGCATGAACCACTGCTGGGATAATGGAATTGACAACTGTCATTAAAAAACCAAAACCATCTATTTTGAATTATACCCAAAAAAATTCCTCAATCCCATTCCCCTCGCCCTGCAACAGTAACTCAAAGTTGCTAATATTTTCTATGTTTCCTCACTTAATTCCACTGGAGTCCATGCCTGCAATCACATCACGTCAGAACAACCTCGCTGTCATCACTCCAAAACAGGCATCCAACTCAAAATTTCACTTACCAATCAAGCCACAGTTTCTCACTGCAGCCTACTCAACTGATCAGAAAACTTTAACTTACAGTGGCAAGAACAAAAAATAAAAATACTAAAAATACAAAACAAAGCAGGAATAAACCAGAAATAAAATATATTGAAGGTAGTTAAAGTCAACCTACTAGATCCCCAGATATATTTGCACTGATTATCTCTTGTCTTGCATTCACCATTATAGCAACGACCCTAAACAAAACACAACATGTTAGCAATGAGAACTGAACATTGTATCATTTCCTTCCCCGCCCCCAACAAATGTCTCATTTTGATTCTCCACACAGTGGGATGTATAATAGGTTTCATGAATTTGGGTAGATGGAGTACACATTTTGGCCCAGATTCTCAAAGTCATTTGGTGTCTAATACATACTGACACTTCAGCAGCTGATTTATACTTCTCATTTACATAGTTGTAAAGAACTTATTAACATGGAGTGTAATAAAAGATCTACATGTAAAACGTAAAGATACGAAGCAGATTTTACTCAAACTAGAAATTTTTACTATTCACAGAGGACAAAAAACACAAGCAACTTTGATATCCAAAAGACAAAATTTAGGAAGAAATACAGAATACAGGATTTAAAAAAAGAAAGAAAAGAAAAATTGTATTTGGTTAATTTCTATTTGCTGATGTGCAGGGATTTTAAAACATTGCATACCTGATTAGAATCACAGGCATACCCATCTTGTTTATGAAGATTTGGTGGACACTGAAAAAAAGAAAATTTTTTTTTTTTAATCATGTGTACTGTAATGATACATCAAAGGATCACATATGGAGTTTTCCTGGTTTTAAAAGACAACTGCACAACATATAAAGGGGGTAATAACATAGTTAGTGCAAGAATCTTTATAGCTACAAATACAAGTGAAAAAATTAACATCTTGAGCCATGAAATACAAGGTTTGATTCTAACTTTCTACATATCCCAAGTAGAAATTAAGGAGGTGAGGCAAAATAAAAACCCAAACAAATGTGTTCAGTACCAGTGTATTTGGTACCTAATACTGGGGCCATGTTTGCAACACTGTCACTGCATTCATTTCAGTTCCACTAAGAAAGTAAGCAAGCACCCAGTTGTAGCCTACAAGTCTATTGCTTACAGAGCTGTGGTTTTTTAATGATATTTGTCATGTTCTCTTGCCATTGGAAACTTTTTTGGCATGAATAAGTCATTAGGTCCAAAAGTCTCAGATTACTAAAGCTAGGAGCAGACCATTCTTAAAGTTTTTCCTCATCAAAAAGGGACCTGGAAAGGGTATGCTGCTGCAACGTACCATATTAGCCAATACTTCAAGGGCAGCCTTTCTAGCTTAAGAAAGCCCTTCTCCCTCCCATTAAGAATGCTCCATCTACAGAACAAAAGATTTACAATAAAATCTCAGCAATAGCTACTTATCTGTAAGTGTGGATGTCTCAGATAATAACGTAAAAAGAGGTTACTGTTAATTTACTGGCATCTATAATTACAGCCAATGCCCAGAGAGACAGGTGTGAGCTATCCTGAATCTTATTTCTTCAAAGCTAAGAACTTGATGCAATAGATGACTGCAGCAGAGTTACGAAGTTATTATATAACCTTAAAGCTAAACACTCAGTATTGAAAAGAAGTATATATCACCTAAAGTGTCCGAGTTGCTGTGAAAATGGAAGATGTACAGAATGCTGACTATTTAAAAGAATGCAAGTTAAAACAACCTTTTGGTTGCTGTTTATTGCTATGTTTTTGAGTACTAGCCAAATGTTTTCAAGAGAAATGCATTGGATCCACAACTTTTAAAATTATCATACATGTGTACATTCTTAAAAAACGTAACACTTTATACAAGTCTTATGAGGAGTGGCTGAGGGAGCTGGGGTTGTTTAGGCTGGAGAAAATGAGGCTGAGGGGAGGGAGACCTGATCGTGCTCTACAAATACCTAAAAGGAGGGTGTAGCAAGGTTGGGCTCAGTCTCTTCTCCCAAATAACAAGCAACAGGACAAGAGGAAATGGCTTCCAATTGGGCCAGGGGAGGTTTAGATTGGCTATTAGGAAAAATTTCTTCACCAAAAGGGTTGTTGAGCGTTGGAACAGGCTGCCCAGGAAAGTGGTGGAGTCACCATCCCTGGAGGCATTTAAAAGATGTGTAGATGTGGTGCTTAGGGACATGGTTTAGTGGTGGACTTGGCAGTGCTAGGTTAATGGCCAGACTCGATGATCTCAAGGGTCTTTTCCAACCTAAACAATTCTATGATTCTATACTCAATTAGTTGTATTTTCTACATTTATATTTTAAACTATTTTACTTCATAAAATCTTACTGCTATTACCTTTGAACCCATTCACATTTTCAGTGTATTCTTAATACTTATCTGTAGACCAGGCAAAGAGTAAAGGAGGATGTCTGACACAGGTACTATACAGATACACAAAACCCCACGAGTTTTAAAAAAACAAATAAAACTACAGAAGTTACATTTTGAGTCCACTTAGATGAATTTTTTTTTAAGCTTATAACAGTTCATTCTTATGTTTAAAAAATTTTGTTAGGATTAAAAAATAACCCCCCACAGTTATTTGTGGGTATATGAGTGCAGTTTGTTAATCTGGATTTTCCTCTTAAATTGATCTAAAATAAGTGCAAACAAACATCAATAATGTAAGCAGAAAAAGCTTCTGCATACATACCTGGCCAGAATCTCCAGTGCAGAACTCTGCAATATCACATTCATTCACTGCATATCGACAGTCATAGCCTCGTGGGAAAAACTAGAAAATTAAGAATATAGTTCAGGACTAAGATTATGTAAAAGTAAAATTAAAGGTTCCTGTTTGGAATTACTCCTCATTTTAAAACTCTGTAAACACTATACTCACATATATTTATCTTTTTTTGCTTGGCTAAGAACAGAACACCACAATCTCAATAGTTATTTTAAAGTCTTGAAAAATATTTCAGTTTCTTAATATTTTAAAGGCTAAACTGAAGTATATAATACTTCGAAAATTTAGGGATATACAAACGCAAATAAAAGGCATTTTTGCATGAATACCTATCCAATGCAATCTATTCCCTTTATATTTGGAGCAGTAACCACATTACTGTCTAGAATAACGGTCAGACTACATAAGCTGTTCCTCTTCATTCTACATAAAACACACTTTGAACTATAACAGGCTGCACATCACTTCCACAGACAACTGAAAAGAACAACAAACAACAGATACACTGCAGCAACACTCACAAGACATGATGTATTACAGCAGGGTCCATCACTACAATGAGCTCCATTAGAAAGAGAGCACTTCTTACAACAGTCTGCATAACATTCCTGAAGAAAATATTAAGCGACATTTTTAGTTTTCCATTTTAAGTAAGTTTTTCCTTCACAATCTTTCAACAAACTGTTATGTACCAGCAGACAAAAGATTCAGTTCAGCACTGATGACTTGAAATTATCAGCTGGAAGAATCCTTTGCAATGCTGAAATACTAAAGTAAAGGGAAAACAGCAACACATTTGCTATAGCAACAAGGGGATTCACACCATTTGAAGCCTCTTCATAGGCGTGGAATAGCCTGTGCAACGCTGCTTAGTTAAACTGCATTCAATGCAGAAAAAAGATTAAGAAAAATAATTATGGTTGTAATTATATTTAAATACTAGAACCAGGACTCAAAGCTACAGTGCAGATTTTTGCAAAAACATTCTTGGAATATGTCTACAATAGAGAAGAAAACAACAGTTTACTTACGCTGTCCGAACACAGCCACCTATCTCAAAAGCACAAATAAGGGGTCTACCACTCCAGGCATGTTATCCAGGAAAAATAAAGGGGTAAACCACTTCCACAGTGCAATTCAAAAATTGCTGGGAAACAGTTACATCCTGTCATTAGTATGACAGGAAGACTGTTCTGAGGATACTCTGTCTTTGCACTCATTCTCACTTGAAAAAGTGTTTTAGCACAGTCCTTTAAGTTGTTCCCTAACAACAGGCAAAACATATTCATTTCCACGACCTTTCCCCTTCCCTTACCAATCACAAAATTTACCTTAATATATTTTGTAAGAAAGACTTGTGGAGTAATATATAACTCTACTTGCCATTCGGAAATCACAATCACATTCTTCTCCTGCTTCTACATATCCATTTCCACACTCGGTGGTTTCAAAGAGCTGAAAGCAAAAAAGCCCCCCCAAGTAAGAATAAAACTAGTATCAAATGACTTTTCTGTCATACACAGCCCACCTCTGCAATGCTACAGAAACACACTCTCACAGAGAAAATATATGCCATGCTACTGCAATGGGGAAGGCAGCATGTTCTCCAAGCACTGCTAGTCAGAACTGTTAAGACATGAAAGATGTGCAGCTAAATCACTTGATTGCTAACCCTCTTTATGAGAATACTGATCTCAGAAAACTAAGATAAACAGAAAGATACTAAAATAACTCCCAAGATGGTAACATTTGAACTTCATTCCAATTCTATGGACTCCAATTTCTCTGACAATTCCTTCAAGAAACCAGTCAGTAGTATGATCTCTGGGATCTGCTCAGGTACCCATACTTTCCCATGCAATTAGCTACTGTCTATTCCAGTGTAACATGCATGTGCATTAAAATAATAAATATTAAGAAACACTGCCAAAAGAAAGTTCTATGTGCCTTACTAGTAAGTTAGAATAACACAACCATATATATAGATAGTGCTGAACAGTTATTCCTAGGATCAGATATATACAATACAGAAAAATTCTACAGTTCAGGATGGGATAGATTCTATACTAGTTTCACATCTCATAATTTTGAATAAAGGTGATTTAAGGTATTTTTCAGTCTTGTCACAGAAATAATTTTGCAAAAACCTTGTCTGTTTTCAATATAATAATTCTGCTTTAAAATCCTGTAAGAACATCAGGAATCTACAATTTAACTGGGAAATTAGCAACAGAAACACATTCATCATTAGAACAGGGTTGAAATGAGAAGCTAAGTTATATTAAAATGAGAACAGATAAATCCACAGCTAGATAAGGGTGAAAGATGAGAGTAGACATGTTCTTTCTTTCTGCATGGGGTTAGTGGCAGTACAGCTGTTGAGGATCATCCAGATATGAAATGTAACATATAATACAATACAAATTATTTATAAACTTGGATAGAATTCTTCATCAGCACTCTGGGGCGGGGTGGAGGGAAGGTATCATGATAGCTAATCAAAAAGAAAAAAAAAATTACTTTTGTTGTATAAACTACACAGGTAATCAACAGCACCTACAATTTTGGGTGCAAGAAGCAAAACTACACTGAAGCAATACCCATGTATACTCTTCTTCACTAGCAATGTCGACATGATTCAGAAAACTGAAATTTCTTTTTTTTTTTTTTCCTCTATAAGCCACTCTTGCTACTATGCTTCGGTGGAAACAGCAAGATCTCTTATTCTGAACCTGAAATTCAGTTCTCCATCAGACAGACCTGGCTATCTGACCTGTAACTCATAAGAAAACAAAAAGGGGTCAACCAGAGAAATGCAAGAAAATAACAGAACACACACAGATTTCCTACAGCATTAATTAGGAACCATCAAACATGCAAATACATGTCAGAGCATAACTAAAAGGTTATAATTTAAAGTGACATCATGGTGACTGCTTAAAATAACTATGTTTTATTTACCTAAAGATTAAACACACCATTTCCTACCTTTCCTCCCAACCTCCAAATAACAGGTTTCAAAACATTGTATGATTCCGCCACCCCCTGCCCAAAGTACCTGAACTTCAAAGCTGTGAAATACTGACACAGATTAATATATAAAGATAATTCAACCATTCTCCTGGAAGCATTTCATGGAAGTAAAACAGATTTCTATTTTGTGTACAGTCAATTTGACAATTTGTTCACATTACTTTGCTAGACAACCATCACAAGAAACAAAATTGTTTTTCTTTCTCCCTACTTACACTTCTCTGTAAGAATTCTTACATTCTTAAGTAAAGATTACTACTCTGGGAAAAGATTAAAAAACACTCTAACAAGCAAAATTTTTTTAGTTAATTGTGCGACATGGTGGTCTACCAAAGGATACAGTACACTAAACAGAACAGACTAGTAGTCTCACATGGTATTAAATTCTACAAGGACAGCAAGTTTGACACCATGATTAAATAGAATAATAATACTTTAGATTGATCTTACTTTGCAAAAAGAGCTACGTGGAGTATTTTTATACTACTCAGCTTTAGAAGGATGTCTTGCTAATATTGGCTTCAAAAAATTTATGATCTTGATAAGTTTTTAGGTGAAAAAAGCAATGGATGGTACAAGGAAACAGTTATAAATTAGAGTTTGCTAGATGTACATCTGAAATGAAATTAAATTAACTTTGAGAACAACCACAAGCTGCTACTGTCTATATGAAGTAAGCTATTGATTTCTAACTCCTAGAGTGGTAATTGGCATTCTTTTTAACAACCTCAGGCAAAAAGGTCCAAGAATTGAGTGCATGTGGAGCATGCACTATGACCTCAATTCTGGATTTATTTTGCATGACTTCCAGCTTAATGAGTACATTTATGCTGAATGGGGATGTATCTAGCTGTGAAAAATCAACTGCAATATTTGTCATTATTTGAGCATGATGAATTGATGGAAAACAAGTTGCATTCCTCTTAAGATTATTTTTAAATGTTATGGGAATGAACAGTCAGCTAATTACAAGCAACCTCAAGAAAATACCCACATAGACATTTGAACAAATTTGAGAACAGGTGGGTGTTAGTGAAATTATTACATTTTCATTACAATGTTTAGCAGAGGTGCTGACTACCAACGTATTTATTACCTTTGTTGGCCTGTTGAAAAGACAGGCACCTCCTCCACGAAGTAAAAATTCTTTGTATTCTGCAATGCTGCATTTGGAGAATTTCCTGGAATGGTATACTCTAAAAAGGAAAAGAATTAGCTGAGTAAATATCTTGAAACACCAACAGTTACTGGAAGGGGGCAGAGGGGTCACAACATTTTTTTTAATACTGTAAATCCCAGTTTCTTATATCCACTGCGTGCAACTGTATGTCAGCTCAGTCTCATCTTCAAACAATAAAATCAGAACAAAAGAAAAAGACTTTAAACATTTTGCATTTTTATATTTCTATTATATGGATCTACAGTATATGAAACTGTAGTCTTCTAATCTTCCTAATAATGTGAAACCACATTATCATAATTGCAGCTATGCAATCTCTCAATTGCATGCATAATCCAGTGTTCTCTTGGGTTTGTTTTCCCTGCAGCTTCAGTTTAAAAGATGGATTACAATCCAGATCCCTGATTTCTAGCCATGGTTTTTAAACTGTTCAAATCATCTTATCCTATTCATAAGGTTAATTTTTAAAGTAAAAATCATTGCAGTCAAAAGAACAGCAGTATAGGGTCAGACTAAAAATCCACTTTACCCAAATCCCATCTCTGATTTTGGCTTAAGAATATGACCAGGGAAGAGTAAAGAACAGAGCACTGTACTACTGTACTTGCAGAATATTCTTCCGGCTTCCAACAGTTTTCAGGAAAATTACTTTCCTGGGAAGCCTTGTTTTGTCTTAATAATCTTCATTGTATTTTCTCCCATGAATTTGCCTAAAATCTTTCAGCATCTACCAGATACTATAGCAAGTATCAAACACAAGAAGTTTCACAGCTTAATTACAGAGTGGTAAAAGAACAATTTCGTCCTGTTTTTTCTGTCACCTATTTGCTAGTCTCATTTCATGTCTCGCTAGTTCTTATGCTGGAAGAAATAGTAATCATTTGCTATGTTGTTCATGATGTTACAGATTTCTCTCATATTTCCTCATCTCCATCTTTTTCCCAGCCTGATGAAAACATACCTTATTGGTCATTTCTCACACAGAAACTGTCTGATATTTTTATTAGCCATATTTTGAGTTCTGAGAATGAGAACTATTCACACTATTAAAGACAGGGGTAACCATGCCATAAGGAGGTTCTCCATTCCTTTCCTAGCAGCTCACTGCTCCTGAGCTGACATTTCCCCATTGAATTATTCCATATATAACATACATCTTCTGGCACTGATGGAGTTAAATGAAAAGGCTTTACGCTGCAGCTAATTGTTCACTCATTTTATTAGTCAGTCCCTTTTCAGCTTCTGGGTGACTATCATCTGCTTCTGGCATTTATTTTTTTTTAATGTTACCTTATCTACAGAAAAGGTTTGTTCCACCACTCTTCTACTGATGTTTCCATCCAAGACTGATACTTTGATGAGTTCACCATAGGAAGGAAGCTAGTATCTATTCTGATTAATGCTTTACTTCCGATTCCAGAGCAAACTTACTGAATAACCTTCTATTGCATTCATATGGTGGCTGGCAATTACAAGTCCACAGGAAAGCCATACAGTAATTCTATTGAAGAACCAATTTTCAAATACCACATGAAGAAACCAGGCTCCTTCTGTCTTATTTATAACTAATTTTCCCCAGGATTTTGGTAAACAAACTTCCACAATGAGTAAGAATTCTGACAGGAAGTGATTTATAAGACTCAAAACCTTATGTTTCAGAAGCTATGCTTTTCTATCAATTGCTTACATTATAGAGAAAAGAAACTGTGGCAGTGTGTGAGGGTAGAGGTCAATGATACCTGGTTTCCTCCCATATAAATGCGGTTCCCCCTCAGACTTCACTGACCATTTAGCTAAGGATTGAGAGCACTTGCTGAAAGCTTCAGGTTTCTACTTCTATTCAGTGGATCAGAAGCAGAGATATCTGTTCACTCAAAATTAGAATTTTGAAGGAATTGAGGAAAAATAATTAAAATTTAGGAGGGAAACAGAAATATCACTTATCAAAACTATTATAACACTTTTTCAGCTGCATGTAACTAGATGTATTTAATGAAAAATATACACTTTACTTTTAAATTATTGTAAGTAGAGCAACGCATTTGTGAACGTACTGTATTGTACTTCAAAATATAAGATTTATTAATAACTTCATAAAATGTGAATAACAAAGGGAATGAATTGCTGAAAATCGAAATCATTGATCTATACATGTTTGGGTTGTTCCAACTGCTTCTAGTTTTTCATTTATTAGTTCTAAAACACATGGATAAAACCCAATACGTAAATACTTATGTCATAATGTAAACTATGAACTCATTCCAGACCCCTCAATTACTGATAGTTACGACATACCCCGTTTCCTCCATGATGCAACCACCCCAGGATTCAGTGCAGTCACATTCTTCTCAGACAAGTCCAAAATACAACAGAAAAAGAAAGCAGTTATAAATATGCTTACAATAAATATAAAGTACTCACTACAAAAATGGACCTTGACTAATTATACAAAGATGAGATGGCTGCTTGGCTGTACAGACTCTAGCCCTAAAAAAGAAACCAGCCCACTTGAGGAAATACTAATATACTTAGTCTAAACACGGTACTTTCAAATTACCATAGGTGCACGTTCTTAGACTCAACATAAAGTTTCAGGCAGTATAGAAAGCTAAAAATAGCTGGCAACGTTCTTCCCTACATGCTCTCCAAACAGGCAGCACACGGGTACATGCAGTACACAAGATACTGATGATTAAAAATGTTCACATTTCCTCCTCTCTGAAATGTGTACAGAACACCCTGAAGGAGAATTGTTACTGGACAGGCCACGTTTTTTCCCTTCGACATAGAATTATTAATAGTAATACGTGAATCAGCCAATGAAAGATTAATTAGAAAAAGTAGTTGAGTGAAAATGGATTTACAGTTTACTTACAGCTATAGCATGTAAGTCAACAATGACCAAATTCATTAAACAAAACCAAAAGATCAACATCTTATGGTTGGTAAAACAGAAGTTAGAAACTACCCATAAAAATTATCTACCGAAGTAGCAATATTTTCAAGAAGAAAGATTCAGTATTCTAGTTACTACAGCAAGTCCATACTGTTTCTCCACAGAAAATATTCACAGACTATTCATATGGTTATTTCTGCTCTATCCAGGTCTTTTATTAACATTTCTCTATAAAGTGTATCCAAATAAGGAAACTAAGCTATCATTTTAAAACCCTCTATCTTCTAGTTAAAAAATATTCTGATTTCTAAATCATATGAACTCTGTTTTACCTGTAATCAAAAACCAATAATATAGAAAATACTTTAGCAATTTCCAAGTTTACACAATTCAAAAGTGATGCTTTACAAAACAACATTCCCTAAACTTTTCCACATTGTTTCCCAATTCACAGATTTCTGAAGTGATTCCAAAATAAAGTCAGCAATATCATTCACATTTTTAAAGAAGAATCAAAGACAGAAAGTAGCCAAATTGCTCACAAGAAGTGAGCTGAAAAACCCAACAATTTTCTTTAGCCCCAAAAAGGGCTTTTGCAGCAGCTTTTGTACCTACACTCTACACGTGTTAAGGCCACATCAAGTCTAGTCTTCTGGCTGTGAAGTAGCAAGATAACAAGTTGAGCAAATGTAATCATGGTCTAGGTTACAGCTTCTTACTTTTTCTTCAATTATAAATCAGGTATTTTTGTATCTTAAAAATTCAATGACAGTTCTACAGGAATTACAGATTCCATTATGACAGATAAGGAGTTCTGAGTTAAATTAATGATGTGTTTACCATTATACCTCTGAATGTTGGTTACGAATTGAACCTCCTGACACAGGTCATCACTGAGGTCATTGTAAAATGAGTGCTAAACTGTTGGCTCTCATTTTGGTTGAATTCCAATTTTGGTGCGTATGTTTCCCAAAGCAGCAATTCTTGTTCTACTGTTACAGCAAGTTTGGTATTTGTTTCAAATATTACAAAGGAAGAGTTTATACATTTAGCTAAGGAGGACAAAAGACAACTTCACGTCCATATACATACTCGGTTTCCTGGCAGCTGGCTCCCATTGTATTCCAAGGTTCTGAGCAAGACTTTGTGCTAGTTCCTGTGCCATGGCTAAAGGGAGGCCATACTGCATTTCAAGAATAGTGCAAATAAAAAACAAATAACAAAAAACAAACAACAAAACACCAAAAAAACAAAACACCAAACATGTAAGTTATTGTAGTGAACATGGCTCATTCTGGCTTACCACATACCTAGTAATTCAGTAATTCTGTACAGTCAATCACAATTCTGTGTGCATATAAGGAAAATAAACACAATGAAGTACACAACAGAAAAAATTTTCCTCTCCTAACCTGAAGGAATCCCTGTCCACTGATTAACTAAAAGAAAGGAGTCTGTTTGATATATACATGACATAGTTTTGTATAGTATGATTAACCCACATTAAACCAGGACATTTTCATTATCAATTTAACATTGCACCAAGCAAAAAAAGAAAAATGAATACACAGGGACAAAATTTTTCTAGTTTTAATGCTAAAAAAAAAAATCAGTAAGAATTACATGTCATCAGCACCTCAGAAGATCAAGTCTCTTGATCTTTTTGGGTAAGAAGACCCAAAAGAACGTTCAGTGCTAAATTTCAAATACTCCTCTCTGAGATTTTTGGGTCGAAATTCCTGTCAAATATACTAAAACCCAATTTAAGATCTTATTAAGAGAATAATGCAGACAGGAGGAATGCTTTTTAAAAAGAAAAGCACGGTGAGCAGTAGTTTAGTGATCATACATGAAAGTTGGCTGTGAAAATCATAACTTTTTAATATGTAAGTTACCTTTAAAGCCCCGAATACTGAAACAACATATAAACTCTAAGGTTATAATGTACACTTTCTATTTTATTTCACTTTAGTTGTGGAAAAAAAAAAATAATTACCTCATTCACTCCTACTCCTCTGGTCACAGAGCAAACCCCTCCGAAGTAACTTAAGCTGCTCCTTTTGTAATGAAATGTCACATTCCTTACATATGAAAATAATAAAAAAAAACCCAACACATTGATATTGCACACCAAGAACTCATTGAAAGATCATACTTTCACACATACTATGATACACTGCATGCACATTAATCTTCATCTAGCACCAAAAGCAACTGCAAGTTTACAAGCAGAACACTGACGTCAAAAGAGTCGATTAGATACAACCTTTGATAAAAACACTATTTTTATCTTGTAGAGTCAGAATCAGTCCCAACCCACAAACAAACCAAGCAGAGAAAGCTAGAGTACCAGATTCCTAAGAAAATACAATTATAACATTTCCTTTAAAAAGATAACAATATATTGCAATTTATAATCTGTCAGGAAGGAATTCTGTACTGAAATGTATCAGTGTTGAGAATTTTTTTAATTATGCTCTTAATCCAAACCAATTCAAGTTCTAGCTTCAACCCCAAATGAAAAGACTGAGAAGTATATCTAAACAGAAAGCAGTTTAACACTGCTCTTTAATACTGCCTCCTTTGATTTATTGTTAATAAGCCCCAAATTTAGTTAAGTTAATGTAATCTGGAAGAGATAAATTATCCTATAAAATGTCTATAAACTATTATGAATGATACCTATTTTAACCTCATAGGCATAATAATAAATCTACACAGCATTGGGCATGCATAACAAATGAATGACCCCAATCTTTGAAAATTAAATCCTTTTACAATAGCAGAATCAATGTCCCTTTTGTATTTTTAAATGACAGGATACTTCAGACAGGTATATATTTATTTTTTCAGAACATTCTCACAGCCATCAGAACTGTCAAACTGCAGTTTAGCTATACTAAATGCCTAAAGCTAGATGCTTTGCAATAGACAGAGCCACAGTAAGGGCTGAGGTTGGCAGGTGTTTCTGCAAATGGTCTAGTTCAACCCCCTTGCTCCAAGGAGGCTCAGCTGGAGCAGGCTGCTCAGGACCACGTTCCACGGGCTTTTGAATATCTCTGAACCTATGGACACCCCACAGCCTCTCTGGGCAACCTGTTCTAGCATCTGACCACGTTCATAATGAAAGGCTTTTTCCCCCCCTATGTTTAAATGGAATTTCCTGTATTTCAGTTTGTGGTTAGTACCTTTCACTGTGCATCACTGAGAAGAGTGCCAGCAAACTCTTCAGCAAGTGACACAATACATGCATAAAAGTAATTAAGAGCGCACGTCATCAGCACTTTGCATATCTTACAAAAAACGCAATTAGCATTGTATTGCAATGCCTGTATTAAGACAGTACAGCTATGACAGAGGCTGGAGGAAATTCTTCATCCCCTACTTTTATCTTCTTCTGCAGAACATGAATGATAGGAGAATTATGTGGAAGACTTTTGTCACTCCATCCTCATAGTATGTCATGCTGCTAGGAGAAGGCTTAAGATATTTATGCTACACAGGGGAACACACTCATCCCCCTCTTTGCTTATAATGCTGTGAAGTAAAAAAATACTGTTGCTCAAGGTTGATGTTGTGCCTAATGATGCAAGTGGAATTTCCCCTCAAAATGCACTGTGTCTCAGAAAACAATTAATTACAGCTTTAAAGGAGGGGTCCTTCCATTAACAAATCATCACAGCAGTTAAATGAGTGAATAAATATAGTAACTGGAATGCTCTTGTGGCAACACATAATACTATCAGCTCTGCCCTCTCCTGCTCTTTACTGGGAAAGCAGTACATTACACACCTGATTAGCAAAACTAGGTGTCCTTAATGGCTCATCAGAAGACATTTCAAATATGGGACATTGTCTCCATGTTGCAAAGTTGTTAAAATTTCCTTATAGATATATATTAACATGACCATGGTATATACTTCCTATTAAAAATAGACTAACGTGTTCAAAAATAGATTAGAGCTTCGTAAGTAAGGTAGATATTGATGGATGTAGCGACTACCAAGCAAAAAACTAAGCAAGAAGAGACAGGTAGACAAAAGCAGTAGATAGAAAAGTACATAAAACTGTAATAGTCTAAGCCATAGTATAATGGGTACATACGAGAGCAGGTGCACAGCATCAGCATGCTGTTTGATGTAGTGCTGTCGATATTTGGAGAAATCGTGAAGCATCTGCAGAGGGTCAGGGTGAATATTAATAAGATCTCTCTCTGTCCAAGTTTCCACAGCCACAAGAACCACTCTGGTGTTTAGCTGTTCCTTGTATATCTGAGGGCAGAGACATGACAGGCACAGGAGTAGAACACTGGGTCAAACATGCACAGTTAGCCAGTAAGAGTAAAGCGGAAGCACGAGAGGGATAAAGCAGGAGGGAAACATGGGAAACAGTTAGCTGGTAATGCTTTGTATTTCCTAAAAGTTAATATTCTGATCAACTTAAAATTTATGTTTTAGAGGAAAAAAAAAAACACCTTGTTGCTCTTTTTTTGATCTACTTCTTTTTCTTTAAAATTCTCATGTCAAATAATTTCACCTGTGAGTTTTGCAGAAAACCTGTACAAAAATCAGCAAAGAAGAAATGTAAAGGTACACTGGGTGATCTCAAAGAAAAAGAAAAGAAAGATGTCAGAGAAAAAGAATAGCCAAAGCCAATTCTTAAGTCAAGATTAAATAATTCCTCAGTTCTCCAATACATCCAAAATTTAATTCACATAATGCTTGATTTTCGTTTATAATATGATCACTTTATGCTACTCAAGTAACATAGGAATTAAGTAAGATTATTAGTATTTATATTAAAGTCAGTGTAGCAATAGACAAGGAAATGACAATCAGGCCCCAATAATTACAAAATAGTTTTAAAATATCCATTTTAACTTTGTGCATGATACTTAATTCCAAAATAAAACTGCTGCTCTCTTTAGGTTTAGGTCATAAAATGCCAAATTTTATTAACTAAGGTTATTCAGAACTTGTAGATCTATAAAAGATGCACTTCTTATCCACAACAAACAGTCTGCCCATCAAAAGTTTTACATGGGACACAAAGAACTCTTACTGATCATACTTAATTATGATCTAAAAGCACTGAATAATTAATCCATTGGCTGCCTAATGCATAAAATACATAAAAGGCAAGTTATTAGGCCACTCCCATGAGGCGCTAGATTAAATATATGTTTTTATTACCTTTTTCCAAGTTATACTTACAATAAACAAGATGAATTGCAAATATCCTCTTGCAATTATGATAGATATTTATACTGAATAAAATAGCACTGACTAACATGCTAGTCTTTTGTATCAAGGCAGCATTATCCTTTTAAAAAAGTCAATGCATAATATTCAGTTTAGGAAAAAAGGTAATAAATATAGGAGAAAGAGAGAGCAACCAGCTAAGCTTAATTTTTGTCCAAGAACTTGGAAGGAAAAAATAATATTAATATGCTTCAATCTGAGGGAGACAGGCCAAGGACATACACAGAAAATGGTTAACAACATGAGAAAAATCAATAAAATTACACCCCAGAAATTATATATGGGTGGATCAATAAAGACTTTACTTGGTTTTGCTGGAGGAAAACTCTATTACCTGAAGCAAATGGGAAGGAAAGAATGGAGGAGGGGGCTGAGAACCTGGAAGCCTCTGAAAGCCAATATCCTTTTCCCAGTAATGTATCAGTAAGAAATATAGCCCACTCCCCATGAACACAAGGGAATAACAAGGTGGAAATTCCTGCTCCTTTTCATGCTTTGTTTAAAGAAAAGGACACTAATATGTCATTCTGAAAGATCTCTATGAGAGGACTGAATTCTACACTGGGGAGAAGCTGAATGTTCCTGTATACACACATACAGCAAATAAAAAAATGGAAAAACAGAAGGAATAGAGAAAGACAGATTAAGTAACTTTTGATAAAATGCAGAAGAAATACAAAGAAATAATGATCAGATGAGGAAAAAAATGAAGATGCCACCCTTTCTTTGGGAATGTCCAATATAAATTGCAGAAATATCATTTCAATTATTTATATTTTTATCTGCTCTAGTAACTTTTCTTCAGACTACTGGCATTTTCAAACCATTACACAAAAATATTCCAAAACACTTCCAGCTTTTCACATATTATAAATATATTCACCTAAATTTTCAGTATACATACAGTGTACACAATACTTCATATGTAAGATATTAAGAACAAATATTATATTGCTTCCTCCAAACTAAACAAACTGTTGACAATGTTTTGCACTGAAGCATATCACACAGTTGTACTGGTATCAATAACATCACATGGAAAGGGGACTTTGCGTCAGAATTTTGCTAGCCATTGTGCTCATCACTACAAGATAATCTATCCTGTTTTCACTACAAACACAGCTCTGGAATGTGTTTAGTCACTACAAGTATACAAAAAGAGAAAAAAAAATAATCAAGTTTTACCACAAATCTTACTTTTAGTTTATAAGTTCTGTTGGAAATTGTTCTAAAATTAGTCACAGATACAAGTATGGTATCTGTGTCAGTGCCACCTATTGTATTACAATGGGAATTTGTTTGGTTTTAAGCTATATATAAATATACATTTATAAAGGAGCATTTTTATTCACATTCTCTTTTTTCTGAGAATCTGTGTATCCTTTGTGAACTATACTTGTAGCTTTAACCTCTTGTGGTTAGATTTGTTTCACAAATCTAAACTTGATTAATCTCATTCTTAAGCAGTGACAGATACTGAAAGATCCTTCAAGTTTGAAATGCCCCCTGCCAAGCCCAAACTCTGACAGTTGCAAGCTTTGAGAAAAATGCCAAGGATAATTTGGTCGTTTCTTACACATTCACCCCAGGCTATTCTTCTGCAGAGGAACTGCAAATCAGTTTTAAAATGTAATTTTTACAGCTGCTCATTTTTTTATCCTGGTATCTGCTAATGTTAACTTTTTAAATACAGCACTAAACTAACAAAGTCAGTGATACAGTTTTCAGAAGAAATATTGATACTTACAGCATCTACGACGTTTACCACAGACTTTGCAAAATTGTTTGTGTATGTATTTGAAGAACGGTGCTTTTTGAACTAAAAAGAGAAGAAAAAAATAGAACACAGTGAGAACTTAAATATTTATTACCAATTCTTTATTTTTACAGCAAGAAAGGAAAATTAATATTTTAAGAAAGAGTAAGGGAAAAACTCAAAAACCTTGTCAGATCACAGTCTATATCTCATATTCAAGAATCCCTGGAAGATAAAGGAAGCCATGTATGCTAGACAGCCTTTCACATCTATAAAAGGCACATTTAGCCACAAGAAATATCCTATTTAGAATCAGAGTTCAAATGTTCAAGACAAAATTACAGGTAAACATAAACATGAGCTCAAAATTGAGAGGCTGCTGTACCCATTAAAACTGTGCTTAACCTGGTAAGTTAAATATCAGACTGTACTAGCCGCATTCCATGACCATAATTACAAGACATGAAGATGAAGCATTTACCACTTGTCCTGTGTACAGCTCTTTGCAAAGACATCCTTTCTCTACTACAGCACCAGATTTTTATGACAACCGGCATTACTTATACCAAAAGGCAAAAATGAAGAGGGAGTGCATGGTAAAAGTAAATACGTGTTTGAATGTGGAAAGAGTTAAGCTGTGTATCTTAAGTTTTAACTTCAAATTTTTTCCATTTCTATAGATGTAGATGAACTGTATTACAAGTTCTGCTTCCTAATCTCTGTGCATGCCATTACAATTGCTTCGTGTCTTTCCTCATCCTGCCCCACAAGTCCCCTCTGTTCCAAGTCAAATTTTCCAAAGATGCTGCTGTGGTATCTGAACATGAATCCATGACTTTCAAAAAACTGTAAAATTATAAACCAAAATCGCATTACACAATTTCCTGATTTACAGGCAGGAAAAATAAGTCTTCAAAATGTCACAGAAAAGGAACCCAAAATTGCATAGAACAAAGAGGGCAAAAAGTCTTCATCAAAAAACTCTTACTAATTCCAACTACTGGTTAAAAGCGACAAATCTCATCACCTCATAAGCAAACATTATCAAGTTCCATGAAAGTGTCAGCTATTCCCACTCTGAAACAGAGTACCCAAAAAGAGGCTTTGAAACAAGACAGTCTGACTCTTCTCTGAGCAACTGAGTAGCTACTCTCATCAAATAAATTAGATGATTAACTACCTTCCTAAATCAGAATTACAAAACAGACAAATCCCCTGTTTTCCAGAATTACGCTTGGTGCAAGGGTGAAAGTAAAACTGGAAGACATATATGCTTTTAAAATTAAATAATCTGTTTCTCAAATTGAAAGTCAAAAGAGTGACACATACACACATACAATATTATTAGATAACAAATTTTCCATCCCTTTAAATTTGAATTATTTTTGCACAATCTCATTTTATATGGATGAAATGCCATAGACATAACAAAAATTTCATCAGGTTAATGATGACATTCATTTGACCACAGGAAGATAAATTTTTTACATATGCAGTTATTTACTGTTAAGTTCCACAATGCTTTAGCACATCCACAGCAGGTTTTAATATCCCAAGATCCTACAACATAGGTTTGCAGAGACCTCCTCCCCTATAACTATGCTCAAAACAAAATACTTTCAGCCATAGTACTAGTAGGCACTTAGGAAACACAGGGAGAAAAGTATCCATATCATGGGACTTTCTTTGCTCCCTAGGGAACCATGATACTAGGACAACATAATGGGGGAGGAGTGAAGGGTTGCTTTGTTTTTTTGTTTTGAGCCAATCCCAAATCTTCCCAGAAGTGGACAGGTAACATAACATTCTTTGGAAAATATCATTGGTTTTCATGAAAGTATTTAAATGCCAAGATCAAAAGCAGTACACAATATAATGTGTTTAAACACAGCTCCTAAAACAGAAATTAAGCTAAGTCAGTAAAAAGTGCAACAACCTAATTAAATACGTTTAGCTGTGACTTTAGTGTTACAGGAAAGGAAAATATTGTGAAAACACGTAGTATTAACCACTTAACAACACAATGGCCAAAGAAGTTTAAGATACTTCTTCCAATACAGAACCTTGCTGCAGGAGAAACCTGCCCTCTACTGGTACACAGAAAACCTTAACAGTACAGTTCCTGAGCTCCTGGATTCCCAGACTTTAACTTGTAAATGTGAATACTTCCTGAGGTATACCCATTCTATTCCTTGAGAAGAATTATTATCTGCTTCCGAGTCACAATTCTGAAGCAAAAAATATTGAATGTTTGTGGTCTAAAGCTGTAGCAAACAAAGCCTGAGAGGAGACAACAGTTAGTGTCTGTTACAAGTGTAGTGAACAGGATGGTTGTCCTTTAAGCATGTCTGTAGTATCAGGGGCCAGAGGAAACACACAGACATAGAAATATTATCTCTTCCTAAGGAAGAACAACACAGATCTCATCCAAGACAACAAAACATCTGTAACTTCAGTTACCGTGCCCTACCCCTAAACAACTAACACATGAGCACTCTTAGAATAGTTTCCTACCAGGTAGCTTTACAAGTGAAAACAGTTGAAGAGATTTCTGTCCTACTCTTTCCATCCATTTGAACTCCCCCCACATTGCTGAATTGACACAGATTAAATATAGGTTATTTTTGCCCAGACTATTTCTATGATTTATTAAACAGATGAGGGAAGGTTGTACCATCTGATATCTGCTATTTCGGGCTCTTTAAAATTATCCTTCAGAGTTAACAAAAGAGCCCACAACAACATAAAGCATTGGGTAAGCATGCAGTAGAGTGACAGATACAAGGAGCTCTTACAGAAACACTGAAGTTTATTTTACTTGCACACAAAATAAGCAAAAACTGTTTTATCAACAGAATTTGATTTAAAGAAAAGGTGTTGCTCATACAGAAGCAAAGTCCTGCTAAGAGCTGATGATCCTTATTTGCCTCTAGGTCAATGAACAGCTGAGAAAGCTAAGCAAGACAAGGGATCAGAACAAGGCACAATCAAGTTGTTTTTAGAGTAACTTGCTGTTGGTTGCAGTATATTGTTTGTTACTAGAAAACTTTTAAACCTGCACTGAGTTTTTCCATAACAGATACGCTCTAGTTAAAACTTTGCTATTGGACTCAAATTTGTAATGCTTTTCAAAAAGGTTCTATAAAACAGTTGTTTAGGTTTACAAAGCTTATTACTCCCCAGGCCTGCCTCTCTCCTGATTTTTTGTAAGGGTAACACACGGACACTTTGATAGCCTTACATAGCATAATTAGCTAAAGCGGTAACAGATAACAAATGTCACTTGGCCTGATTCTTTCCGGTCATCCCTCACGACAAAAAGGAAAAAAAAAAATGGGCTTTCCCCTCCCCCCCCTCCTTTTTTTTTTTAATCAAATGACAACACTTTCCGAATCAAACAAGCAACTTATCTTGCACTTTATTAGGAGTCCTGTTTGTAAGTCTGGAATAGCCAGGAAGAACAATCAGATAGTTTTGTCCGTATGCTTTGCTGCATTAAAATTTAAACTAGTAAAACTAAACTCAAAATAACAAGTTCTGACCTCTTTCTTTATTAAGGATAGGATGTAATTTTAGAATGTTTCGTGTGTTTGTTCTGGACATAAATGTTTTGCTGCTTTACTTTTTTGGTTATGGGCATAAGTAGTTATCCATATGATATCAAAGTGTTTCATATGTATTTTGAATATATAATTGCTGTAGAAAATCTCAGGTAACATTAAGCATTATTAGGTATTATGGCCTATACTGTGTCTTACAGTACAAATTTAACAGCTGCTGCTAAATGAAATATTTGACCCAAAAGTTGCTGATGCAGCATAATGCTGTACATCAACCTACAAATTATAATCAAAAAGACTACCACTGAATTAATATACTTACCATTTTATGGTCATTGACTATCATAAGTTCTAGATATTTTATTTCTTCAAAGATACCACGAGATACCTGACGGATTAAAGAAATTCTTTGAGAAATCATGAAGATGTAGTAATTTTCAAAAATAACTACAGCTGATTTAATACGATTACCCATAAATATTACGTAGGGTGTGTAAACCTGTAAAAACCGGGTCAGACGTTTAACTAGGGTAAATAATCATAGCTCCAGTAACTTAGTGAGTTATGACAGAACTGACTGAGAATCTGAGTCACATCATTAAGAATGTTGAGTCTATTCTTTCCGGTTCAGCGCAGAAGCCACCACTGCTTCCATCCTCTCATTTTCACAAAGGAAAAAAAAAATCTCAAGCACAAAAAACTCTTCGCCTACTGTACTATTCATCACAGATTTAATGATGAAGGAAGTTACTAAAAATAGATGCGCCCTCAAAAAATATATGCCGTGGATTATGCAACTCAGTGAAGAAATACAGATTAATCTTCTTTAACTTAATTATTCCCTGACACATATGCATGTGCAGATCATGAGGACTGTCCACTACTGTTCTCTCAATAATCCAGTTCAGGGTGTCCTCATTTGGATTTTTAATTTAATCATGCTACTTAACGAGCCAAATGAAAATAAAGTCAGATATCTACAAAGCAGCAAGACTTCATTCAAAATTATTTGTTATCCACAAGCAGACTCAAAATTTAAAATTCTAAACTCATTTTCACTACTAAACTTCCATTCAATTGATGTATAGTATTGCTGTCACTTCAGAAAGTTTATCCACTTTTCTCCAAATATTCTATTTTTAAAGAATAATCTTCTTGTTTTATCATTTGATAATTGCATTATGTGACAATATTAAGCTACCAAAATACTTGTTTTCTAAAGCCTATGTTCTCACAAAAATCTGGAAATTAGTATTTTTTGGTTTGTTTTTATAAATGGTCTTAACTCAGGGTCACACTTCTACTCACTGCTCTCTTTCTTCTCTTTCTCCTCAGCCACTGTAGTTCAGACAGAAAGGGCCATTCAGAACTAGATTCAGTCTCTGTACAAATTACAATTTGAGAATTTCATGGCATTATTTTAAACTACTTATGTAAACTGTACAAACCAAAAGTAGATTAAGATCACCAAAATTAGAAGAACCTTTGCTATTGAAAAGTTTACTTTTTAAAATATACAAAATGTATCAAAACCACTCAATTAGAAATGTAAAGTTAGTATTAGAGCATGCAAGGGGAGGTAAAGAGACTGTAACCGGGGCTTAGAATATACATTTTCTTCCATCTCATGTCTGCAATAGCATTAATATCACTGATGAAATTAAATTATTTGCAGAAGAAAGCTAAATACACGTCTTCATGGATCGAAAACTTTCAACTGCTTTTTGACAACTCTCAATTCCATTGCAATAATTGTGAAAAAAGTCAGTTCAGTATCTATTCTTCAAGTTTTTCTAAATAATCCGCAATTTTATATAGATTGTTAGACTAATTCCAAATTTTCCAGTTATATATACAATCATTGCCAGTATTGAAAAACTCATAACGTAAGCAAAAACATACCAAGTTCCTGCAACTGCTTGGAGGTTTGTGTTCCGTAAGTTCTTCGGATGATATGTGGCCTACTTTTACTTTCCTGATAAGAAAAATATGTGAAATTTTCTTCTAATTAATAACGTCAAGTGAAAAGTGAGGCATTTCTTTCAGTATTTATAATTTTATTATTTTTCCATAAAATGTAAGCAACCATAGTACCAGTTTGGCATAGTACTAATTTGAAGCAATCTATTTGGAATCCTGAGCAAATCATGGAGCCTCTCTGCTGCAGCACATTTACTGGCCTAGAAAACTGAATATGACAGATGTCTTTGAGATTTCTTGAAAAAAGAACTTTGAAAGCCTTAGTGTTAGAGAATACAGACCACTTATTCCAATAAATCAAATTAGAGAGTATCTAGTTGGAAATCTTCCTCCCACGGATCAAAGGTGGGTTAATTACTATTTATGACAAACATGTATTTTTTTAATTGCAGCAAAATGCAAGAAACCAATCAATATGTTATCTTTAAGAGGATTATTTCACTGTTTTATTGGTGTATACACTTAAAGAGGAAAAGACTTTTAATGCATATTTTCTTGAGAAGTCTTGCATGCCCCAAATTATCACGTTTTGGTATCTGCTCTAGAAAACAATGATCTCTTCTTCCATAACACCTCCTCTGCAGAGCCTGCCAAAACAAGCAATTCTTTTCAAAGAGTAGGATGCTGCTGTTCCATAACTTCTGTAAGAAATACATAACAGAAAGGAAAATATTGTACATGGGGGGGGGGGGGGGGGGGGGGGGGACTTATGGGTATAT